AGTGCGTGCGTGTCCCGGCCTGCTGTTTGCCCGAAATAACGGGCACGGTGGGCTCGGCGGGCCGGGGCAGGCTGGGACCGGCACCGGTCATGGTGTCGCTGCCAGCAGCTGGTGGGCCCTTCGGCTGCTGCTCTTCCCTTAGAGGAGCTGGAACTTCTAGTGAAGCCCTGATCTCTGTAACTGCGAAGGCCCTTCAGAATCCCGGCAGGTGTGCGTGAGCATACAGAATTGGGTTTATTCTGGAGTAAACCAACGTTGAGAGTGAGTTTGGAACAAGCCTGAACAGTCTCAGAAACATTGATATGGGAGAGCCTTGTTGCTAGAAAATTTTATATTTTCTTGAATAAGAGGCTTCTGGGGTTTTTTTTCTGCGTAATGCTAAATATGCAGTTCCAGTAATTTCCCTGCTGCACCATACAAAGCATTGAGAATAAGTTTGTAGTGTTACTGGTATTAGCATGTGTGTGTGCATGTGTGTGTATGTATATACATACATATAAAGGAATTGTTTTTAATTTTGGTGTTAAAATCATCCACTCATTCAAGTGGTTTTCTATTCATTATGTTGTGAATGTTGGTGAGGTAAAAATCCATTTCAATTTTTGTTAGACAAAAGTCAGAATTAGCAAAAAATGTTCTGAAAAAGTGTAGGGGTTTAACGTATTGGTCACCCATGCAAATGATGGGATTGTATTCAGTGCCACTTTAGGAGTGCTTACCTGACAGACATGAATTTTACTCTTGATTTCACTGTGGATGTTTAGTACTTTGAGTAGAGCGTTGCCTCTCTATCTGCAGAGGAATAATAACATTCACTGTAACGTTCTGATAGCTACTGATGAAAAGTGTGCAAGAACTAAGTTTTCCAGTAACTAAATTTTAGCCTGTACTAACTGGCTTCAGCTTCTGAGGAAACTGGTGTTTCCCTGCATTTTTATGACATAATGTTATGGAGTTTTAAATTGTTATGTAGTCTCCACTTCTGTCATAGAATCATAGAATGGTTTGGGTTGGAAGGAAACTTTAAAGGCCATCCAGTCCAACCCCCGGCAGTGAGAAGGGACATCTTCAACCAGATCAGGTCGCTCAGAGCCCCCTCCAACATGGCCTCGGACCTTTCCAGGGATGGGGCATCCACCACCTTTCTGGGCAACCCATGCCAGGGCCTCACCACCCTCAGTGCAGAACACTTCTTCCTTCTATCCAGTCTAAATCTCCCCTCTTATAGTTTAAAGCCATCACTCCTTGTCCTGGGGCCTCCTCTGGCCCCACTCCAACAGCTCCAGGTCTGTCCTGTGCTGAGGGCTCCAGAGCTGGGCGCAGGACACCCGGGGTGGTCTCAGCAGAGCGGGGCAGAGGGGCAGAATCCCCTCCCTCGCCCTGTGCCCATGCTGCTGGGGATGCAGCCCAGGGCACGGTTGGCCTTCAGGGCTGTGAGCGCACGTTGCCAGGTCATGTCCAGCTTTGCATCCCCCAGCACCCCCAAGTCCTCCTCTCCATCCCTTCATCCCCCAGCCTGTATTGATGCTGAGGTTGCCATGACCCAGCTGCAGGACCTTGCACTTAGCCTTGTTGAACCTCTTGAGGTTCACAGGGGCCCACCTCTCCAGCTTACCCAGGTCCCTCTGGATGGCATCCCGTCCCTCAGGTGTATTGACCGCACCACTCAGCTTGGTGTCATCTGCAAACTCAGCACTTGATCCCTCTGTCTATGTCATTGATGAAGATACTAACAGTACTGGTCCCAATATGGACCCCTCAGGGACACCACTTGTCACCAGTCTATAACAGTTTTTGTATGTTAGTCTAAAATAAAAGTGAAGCAGACTCATTTTCAAGGCTGTTTTCCAATGAATAATAAGACATATGCACCTTTTGTTTTATATTTTACTACAGATAATTCACTATTTCAGGTTTTGGCAAAACTGTCTATATTCCTTTGATTCCAATGGCCACTTTTATTAGCTTAGTTCAGACTTTCCTGAAACTTAACACACATTGTGAATTAGAGTAATTTTTGAATGGTTAACATTTGGAGGAATGAGGATTTGAAATCCTGTTTTGTTAAGAAAGGAACTGATTGCTTCTGTAGAGATTTATTTGAGAGACGTGGTCATTTCCGTAACCTTTGCATTACTCTGTTAATAGACTACTAGAAAGGTAGCTTACTTCTCATTTAGGGCTTTTTTTGGATGGCTTTTGAACCAGGAATCACCTGTACTGTAGACTGTTCAAAACAGTACTGAGCTTAACAAACATATGGGCAGGGAGTTTATGTGTAATCATAGGCTTGTGCTAGCTGATTTTATCATACTGGTAATTTTATTTACCTGTTAGAGGTGAATGTAACAGAATTATCTGTTGAACTGAGCTGGAGATCACTGTAGATGTAAAAGATGTCATAAATTATGTGCATTTTATCCTGTTGGAGAAGATGCAAACAAAATGAAACTTCATGCTGCAACAGAAATACTAACAGAATTTTTTGTTGTGCTGTAGCATCTCTTAGGATCTGCATATCAACTGTTGGTTAAACTTCCATCTGAGTCCATGACAGTCAGATATTTATTCTGAGACATCAAAAGTTCATATTTATATGCAGCAATCTCTCTAGTTGTACTCTCCAGTGTGTCTTAGTTTAAATATATTTGAGAGTTTAAAAATAAAGAACACAAATCAACCTCAGCAGTTTGCAGTTTGACTCACTCTTCTATGGATAATAATGCTTCTAGAATTCAGCTTTGTCATTCTCTGGAAACCAAGAGGTCACCAAAGAAGAGTATATAAATAAGAGTGATTTAGGAAATTATCTTGTTAGGTGTGACATACTTGAACAAGAAGTCCATACTTGTTTAATGTTCCATTCAAGGGAAGCTTTGAAAGAAAATGGCTGAAACTATAACTTTATGTGTGGTCAAGCAGATACTTGCAATTTTACCACCAATCTTAAAACCTGTTGCTTTGTGTCATTAATTTCTTTGGGTTTGTGCTTGTGAATTACTGCTACCAGGTAACATCTAGGTGACCCAACTCAGAAAGAGTAGTTTTAATAGTAGTAGTAGTAGTTTTCAACAATGTTTTGCTTACTGTAGTGCTATTATTTATGTGATAAATGTTATGTTAAAGAGCTTTTAGTGTTAGTTCTGTGTAGTGCAGTAAAAGTTTAGAAAAAACTAGTACAGAAAGACTTATTTATATATCCCTTCCATTAAGCTCCAAGTGTTCCCATAAGTATCGAGTGGAAACATACCCCCAGTCATCCTTCCCATGGTTTAAAGGAATTGTTTTAAAATTTGTAAATACATATGTCTGTGATTTTAGTGCATCAATTACATGGAGAAGTGTGTCATTAAGTATATTTTCTGTCACCAGGAGGATGCTTCTGGCAGTGTGTTGTATAGACCACAGAATAGACTGTGTGGATGAGCTGAAAATACACAAGGCTATATTTTTGTTATTTGTTGTGTGTGTTTCTAGAAAAACCTTTAGTGCAGTTGATTTTTAAATCTGTAAAAACCAGGAGTATCTTATTATCTCACTTGAGATAAGTATAGAATAATTTAGTGTCCATCATGATCTTTAAGGGCTGGAGAGTTCTTAAGAAAATGGCTGCTTGAACGTAGGAAGAATTGATGCAAAAACCAATGCTACATATTTGCATAGTACTGCTTATATTATTTTAAGTGTGTTGTAGTTCTGCACACAGTTATCTCAGTTGTTGGGAGAGTGGCTTTTCTTTTTCTTTTGTTTTTATAAATGACTGCGATATTAAAATCTGTTTTCTAGCTGTAGGAAAGCTTACCATGCTTTGGGGGCCTTTTCAGTGAAGCAGCAGTGCTTTGCGTCACTACATAGGGCCATCCAAGGGCACTATATGTTGACTTGTAAAAGAGAGTATAATGCTTTACTGTTATGGGAGGTATAAACTGGTAAAAGATTATATGATCAGTTTCTTCGTTGTTTTCAAAGACTGTTTAAAGAGAACTGTCTTAGAAATGCCCCTAGACTCTGATATATCTGATTGCAGTTTTTCTTTGGTACAGCTAGCATTAATTATTGTGGCTGCTGTAATCTGAAGACTAAGGCAAATGCAGACTGAAAGGGGTGAGAGAGATAAAGGTTTTTGCCCTAAAACTTCCATGATCACAGCTGATAAGGTTATATTCCTAGGTTAAAATTCCCGTGAATGATGATACATTTTTGCAATGATGTCTTAAGTTCTCACAGATGATGTAGTAAATACTGAATCATACAAAATGCAAGGGAAGAGTGCACTAATTTATACAAATACCTGTTTAATTTCTTGCTTTCTCTCTGTGTTCTGACTGGTAATGTATGGAGTATCCATTCTTAGTGTCACGGAGCACTTTTTTGTTTCAGTCTTAATTTTCATTATAATCCTCCTAACTTTTCTATGTATTTCTGTTTTCAGACACATGCTACAACAGCAATGATTTGTAATGCGTGCTTTTTCCCAAGGAGCCCATGTTGCTGAGCTAACTAAAGAAAATGCAAGGGATCTTTTGTCACACTTCTGTGTGAGTTAAAATGAGTATAACTTGTATCATTCACCTGTCTGTGAGAATGGCAAATCATACATTAGTCAGTGAATGAAATTAAACAGGTGCAGACTTAGAAGCAGAAACTAATACGACGTTGGCAGACACACAGCTTCGTGTTGTAGTTATACGATGCTTCCCTGGTGCTACTGTATGATGTCAGTAAAATTAAATACCGAATGTGTTTTGTCACCATCTATTCTTGGTTTTGTACATGAAATAAGAACTTTTACAGAATCTATTTTTTGAAGTAGGTTTCTTTTGAAATCTAATGAGAAATATTAAATGCCTATCAATCTCATGTTCACAGGTTACTTCAATGAACACTTTTGTTTGAAGACACAGTGCAGCAATCCACTACTAATAAATTTGTACTACGGTCTATGTTTGCTGTATAAGACCCTGAAGAATAAATGTAATGCAGATGCAAAGGGAATTTATATGATTCTTTTGAGTGTGACTGGATCATCTCCTATAGAAATAGACAGGAGACTTAACACAAAGCGCAGCTAAGACTTAGTGAACTTACTGTCCGGTTCTGGCCTGTGCTTTAAAACTAGAAAGCCAGTTTCTTGCATATGTGATATCTATTGAAACCTTAAACACTTTGATCTACTTATTCAGGAAAGTTAAGAGAGGACCTCTTCATAGAGAGGTGCCCAGAGTTGGACTTAAATTTCACAGGACTTTAACCTAACATTACGCTATCCCACAGTCAGGGGTTGCAGCTAAAGCGATACAAAATGCGTTACTCCTTAACAATGAGAGCACCTAACATTGCTATGTCTCACTGCCCCCCAAATGCTGGAGTCTGTATAATAGAAATAAAATTGTCTTCATTCTGAACTACTATACTGTGGTCTTGGACCTGAAGAACACAGGTTACCTCCGCATGTGCAGAAATATCATGGTACTGGACAAGACTTCTGACTACACATTAATTTTTTTTTTCCTTCACGTCTGCTAATTCTGTAAGGAATTGTTAATTGTGAATTAAAGTAGTTGCATTCTCATTGCTTTGGGGAGCAAAGCTTCCTTATGACTGTCTGGTTAACTGTAGAGATAATTTTATTTTTCTTTAGAGCATACAGTGGATGTGTCCAAGTTAATTTGCATTTTAGAGTACCTTTCTGCTTCAATTCAGTGCTACTCACCTCACCCCAAAATACAAGAGGTTAGGGAGACATTTCAACTTGGAGGAAGCTGTTAAAAAATTGAGGGTTTCTTATGAGCCTTTTCAAACTGTAGTGATCTTCCAGGACTGTTTCAGAAATACTTCAACCATGTCTACTGAAACTGCTAACTTCATTCTGTATACAAATAAAATAAACCTCCTTGTGTATGGGAATATAATCTAAAGATTACTTTTATTTTGTAGATAGTGACATTGGGAATTTATGTGAATAAATAAGATCGTTCTTCTTCTAACCATTATTCATCAATAAAACATTGCTAGTGGTGCCCACTTCTCTGACGCGTGTAATGCCAGATTTTTTCCCAGGTCTTGTCATCCCAAATTGATGCAAGAAATTTGGGGTGCCCTGGTACTAACCCCAGCAAAATTACTGCAGTCGGAGTGCTGTTCGTTCTACAGTCCTGCCTCCTCCTGAATGTGGTGTTCATGGGAAACCTCACCAGTTCCAGGACCTCTTCAACTAGAGACTGCAGAGTTTGGCTGAAAGCAAAAGAAGGATTCCCTTTTGTGAAGTGCTGTTGCTGTTCAAAATTCTTGTTATTTAACCCCAGTTTCCTACAGATGTTTTCAAGGTCACAGGAAGCATGCATCTTCAAAGGAGGAAACTAAGGTGGAAAAGTAGTCACAAGTGCATGCTGTAGCTTGTTCTTCTTCTTTAAGAGCAGATTGGTACAGAAACTCATTGCCCACTGCTTTTTTTTGGGCTGTATTTTGTGTACTTGATCTGTTTTGTTTGCTTTCAAAGCAATACTGTATTTTCCCTTGATCCCTATTTCTGATTTCTACCTCTTACCTGCTACACTGACAGCCAGACTTACAGACCTTTAACTCCATCATCCTCTCCACCCACTACCAGGATTTGTGCTGTTTACTCCTAACATTTTAAGGAAAAAAGCTTCTTTGTTTCCCAGAAGAAAGATGAAAGAACTCTGAGAACAAAGATGTAGAATTGCTTATAGATATATATGCCTATGGAGATAATTAGATGTTCTAACAGAGTTGTGATGTGCAAGGATTGGAGATGATCCATTTCCTCTTGGTGTCCCTCTCTTCCTGGTTCTCATGCTTTCTCTGGTATGTGTTCACAGACCATTTTCAATGTGTGGCCATGTCCTAGGGAGTGTGAATTCATCTAGAGATGCTAAGATGCCATGATCAAAAGAACATAATTTTTTTTCTCCATGGTAAGGCATAAAATGTCCGTCTTCTTTCTACTCAGGTGCCTGTCCTTAATTCATTCCTTCTGTCTGGACTAGTGCTAGAGGTGACAGTTTGTATTTTAATGTTTTGTCTAGGGCTAAGTTAGTTTCCATGTCACTGATTAAGGGCCCTTCGGGAAGTATGGGGCAAGGAGGAAGGCCACTTTATGACAAACTTTCTGTATGTTCTAGGCATGCAAAAAGCAGTCATTTCTGATGGGATTTGAGTGAGGCTTGACCAAGATCTGATTCCTTAGGTCAGTGACCCAACATGATGCAGGATTGACAAATTATTGCTGCTGGGGACTGGTCTTGTAGTTTGTACACAGTCCACAACCTAGGTATCTTGTCAGTTTGTGTCACTTCAGGTCAATAAAAGCTCTTCCTCCACTTAGCAGAGAAGCATAATCAGGAATGTCCTGATGTTGCATCTGTGCATAGCTTGTAAGCCCTACAAATTAAAGGCAGTGACCTATGTTGGGTTTGTAAGGAAGCCTGCTGCCCTGTCAAATGAGAGGGAAGTTGACAAACATGCATCCTAACTGCTGAGACTTCTGTCTTCCCAAAGGAGTGGATCCATCTGCTAGGGACTGGAACGGTGCTTCTGTGCACAACATGCAGGGGTGGTCAGAATAACAAGGTTAATCTTGCCATTTAAGTACTCCACTGATAGACTGGGGTTTTTTTGTTTATTTGTTGTAATGTTTGATTTCTGACCTATGTCTGACTTGAATCAGCTCACAAGCTTTGAATCATTTTGTAGCTTTGTTCACTTAATAAAAGAACTGTCCTGCCAAAGCTATCTTTGTATAGATGGCTGTGATCATATCAGTTATGTTAACCACCTTTTAGTCCTTATTTCCATCATCAGATATAAGAGCATATAAAATGTCTTTTCCCCTGCTTTTACGTAACAACTGTAAAAACTCAAATGAAGTCTGGTTTACCTGTTTTAATCTATGACACTTTGGTACCTTACGGAACATGTTTAGCAACTCTGATAAGATGATTCTGAATGTTCTGTGAGGGTTTTTGGCAGATTTCTAAATCAGACAATGTTAGTCAAGTCAGGAAGCTCTCTGGCTTGTTTCACTGCTGAAAAGAAGTTCCATTCGTGAAGATTATGAATACTAGTTTTAACTGACAGTCAGCTGATATAGCTCCAGTTCTTCCCTGTAGGCTTTTTATCATGTTCCTACCTGTTGATTTTGTTTTTAGAGTGCCTGAATTTTCATATTTTGATTTAAATTGTTCATATGTCCCATTACAGCATGTAACATAAGACATAAATAGAAAAAAAAAATCCACTAGTATGTTGTGATACATTGGACATGCGTCCTGCATCAGAAGTCAATGGATGATGCTGAGATCTGTTTGTTCAATTGGAAAAGCAGGTATGGTGGCAATGTTATGTGTTTAGACTTCTACATTAACAGAAACAAGAATAGCAATAAAAGTCTGAAGATTCTTGGGCACTTGATTAGGGGCCCAGTCTTGGGAATGTAAGGTGATGTCTGCTACAGATAGATACTCTGAAGGGGACAAGTGTGTGTGCACTTTTTATGATAACACTCTATGAAAAATTGATAAAGTGCTTTTCTTTAGATCTTGTTTTGAAATGTATACATTTCTCTAAAGCCTCTTAAAACATTCTTTCACAGTGTATCAGGTAAGTTTGAGTACCCATGGCTTTTGAGTTAGGCTAGAATTTAAACATTAAATCATTCTAGCTAGGAAATCACTGCTGCGTCAGGTGAGCTTCAAAGTTCACATCATGGTTTATTTAAAAAAAATAAATAAAATCACAAAAGGAAATTTAAAAAAATTGAAAGCCCATGGGTATCTCAAACACTTTACCTTCAAATGCTGCCTTGCATATTGACACAAATTCATTATTATCTGGGAACCTCTGACAAACTGGGTAAATGGTTTGGAATTGAGTCCACACTTAAATGTTTCCTTTCACTAAGATTTCCGTGTTTTGATGTGAATATTGAAAGATGAATTTTTACTTTTTTGAGTAATTATTGAGATTATTTTCTAAGAAGGTAAATGTTTAAACAGAAATGTCACTGGTGTAGTATATTAATCTCCTCTGAAATAAATTTGACTTACCTAGACCTAAGGAGTATTTTTTAAATATTTTTTCGTGTGTGTATGCACACACAGACACACATATGCGCCTGTGGCTTTTCTTTAGCAGGTTTTTCAGACTTCATGAAGTACATTCCAAAAATCATTCTTGGGCAATTTAACAGTGCAGTTCCCTGCAAGTATCACTGTAGTATCTGGCTTGCAGACCTACTAATGGTTCTGAATTTTTTTAACTTGCCTAGTGACTGTAAAATTAATACTGTTTTGTGAGGGTGGGGGTATTATTCTGTGGTTCTTACTAGGGAGTGAAATTGCAAAGTTCCTTTTAGGGCATAGACTGTCCCAGGGAGCCTGTGATGTGTTATGAGCAATGGTCAATGTTGCAGAGGGATAATTCAAATTACAAAAATGCAAGAAATGGGTAGATTAAGACTCTGCTTTTTATTTCAAGCACTTATACCAACTGTTTTGTTGCACCTTAAACAAATCAATGTGGTAATTTAACTTCAACATGTGCAAGCATTTATTTTTTAAATAGAAAACTCTGTATTCATTCTCAGTTTTAAATCTTCTCATTTTTCTTTCAGATTACTCTTTACATCAGTAGAAATGGACAGCAGCAGTTTCATTCAGTTTGATGTGCCTGAGTACAGCAACACTGTTCTGAGCCAGTTAAACGAACTCCGCTTGCAAGGAAAGCTATGTGACATAATTGTGCATATTCAGGGTCAGCCATTTCGAGCCCATAAAGCTGTCTTAGCTGCCAGTTCTCCGTATTTCCGTGACCATTCAGCATTAAGCACCATGAGTGGCTTATCAATATCAGTTATTAAAAATCCCAATGTTTTTGAACAGTTGCTTTCTTTTTGTTACACTGGAAGGATGTCCTTACAGCTGAAGGATGTTGTTAGTTTTCTAACTGCAGCTAGCTTTCTACAGATGCAGTGCGTCATTGATAAATGCACACAGATACTGGAGAGTATTCATTCAAAGATCAGTGTTGGTGATGTTGACTCTGTCACTGTTGGTGCTGAAGAAAATTCAGAAAATCGCAATGGCGTTAAAGACAGCAGCTACTTTGCCAATCCTATTGAGATATCTCCCCCCTATTGCTCTCAGGTGCGACAGTCAACAGCAGGCAGCGATCTTAGGATGGAAACTACTCCAGGCAAAACTCTACGTAGTCGTCTGCAAGAAGAAGGGCATTCAGATCGAGGAAGCAGTGGGAGTATCTCTGAATACGAGATTCAGATTGAAGGTGATCATGAGCAAGGAGACCTGATAGTAAGGGAGAGTCAGATTGCAGAGGTGAAAGTTAAAATGGAAAAGTCTGACAGGCCAAGCTGCTCTGATAGCTCTTCCCTTGGTGACGATGGATATCATACTGAAATGGTGGATGGAGAGCAAGTGGTGGCAGTAAATGTTGGTTCATATGGGTCTGTCTTACAACATGTTTATTCGTTTACCCATGCCTCATCACAGGCTACAGGTGTGTCTGAAACCTTTGGAAGCCTGAGCAATACAAGTCCTTCAAGGTCAATGCTGAGCTGTTTCAGAGGGGGTCGTGCACGCCAAAAACGGGTATGCACCGGTCACTTGCATAGTGATGTTCAGGGCTTGGTGCAAGGGGCTGACAGTGAATCCATGGTGAGTAACCCAGGATATGAAAATAGTCCACGGGAAAGAAATACAAGAGGTCATTGGTATCCATACAATGAGCGGCTAATTTGTATTTACTGTGGAAAGTCTTTCAACCAGAAAGGGAGCCTTGATCGACACATGCGATTGCACATGGGAATAACTCCTTTCGTGTGCAAGTTTTGTGGGAAGAAATATACCCGCAAGGACCAACTTGAGTATCATATTCGTGGTCACACAGATGACAAGCCCTTTCGCTGTGAGATCTGTGGCAAATGTTTTCCTTTCCAGGGTACACTAAACCAGCATTTGCGGAAAAATCACCCTGGGATAACAGAAGTAAGAAACAGGGTAGAGTCTCCAGACAGAACAGAAGCGTTTGTGGAACAGAAAGTAGATAATGATGCTTCAGCTTCTGAAGCTATGGATTCTAGTATGGAAATTCATGCAATGTCTAACACATCTGATTAAAATACTACATTCTAAGCGCAACACAAACAAGCACATTACTAATGTATTTTTTAAATCTTTTATTCTTTTAGTAATCTTCAATACAAGTATAACAGCCTTTTAATTTTCCTGACCTTCTGGAAATCAGTTTGAAATGGTTTCTGGAGAAGACTACATAAGTATTCATTGTTTTTGAAGGAGGCTGGGTTGTTCGGGTTTTTTTACTCTTGAAGATGCTCAAAATATAAGAGACAGTGTGCTGGGGAAAGGATAGGAAGAGTCTGCTAAAGTGTCCCTACTGGTTGATCTGGCAAGACACAAATTCCAGTGGAGAAAGATATTAGGGTAAGATTGGCGGGTCTGCTGGATGCACCAAAAAGCTGTAATCTCCCTTATTTTATTTCCTAAATCCTGTTGCTGGTAATGCGTTACACAGCAGTGGGGAGGGAGAATATTACAGCTTTGATTCCTTCCATGTGTCACAATGAAATCTGTTTGATTTTACTAACTGTTTTTGGTAGTTAGTCTGTTTATATATATAAATCTGCTTTATATATATAAAATGCTTTCACTTTTCCTATTCTGGTGGAGGTGAATGTAAAAGTAAGTCAAGGTTTATGCCATGTGCCACTCTTTCAACTGCTAGGTGTCCTCTCTGCAAAGGATTTAGGACTTTGGACTTTGGGAGGATGGTTTTGGTTTCAAAAGAATGTTGTTTGGTTTTCATTTTATTATACTGTTACTTTGTGTGCAAAAGTGAGCAAAGTGAACTACCTTGTTTTAATAGCTTTGCTTTATAACATGTAAACCAAATGCCATAAATCTGTTAAGTTATGGTTAAATTGCTGAGGGGTTTTGTTAGTTGTCTAGAATGCCAGCTGGACAACCTGTGGTGCTGACCTTTTTATATATATATAGAGATAGATATATCTATATATATTTAAAAAAACAAAAAAAACACACACACAAAAAAAAAATCTAGCAAACCTAAAACCAGCATTGTGGTTTTAAATGTGTTTTTACTGGCCTCAGAATCTACCTTCATTTCGTACTGTAGAATCGTACCAGGTAATTAAATTTAACTTCATCACTCTTCATGGTTGGTTAAAACCTGAGAGTGATGTAAACTACAGTATTTCCAAGCAGTGTTTTAACAGGTCTCTTCACAGAGAGCTGTTTTCAGGTGCACATTGACTTCCTACTTAAAGCTCCAAGTGATATGTCAGCACTTGGAATTTGTACCTTTTTTTTGTATAGAAGAAAACAAATATTCTATGGGAATTTCGAGCAATATGTCTGTTATTTCACGTGTGAGTATTACAGAGTTGCTATGGCTTCCCTACTATTTTTAGTGGTTGTTTTCTGCATAAAGGAACTACCAATAACTTTAAAAATACTCTAAATCTTTTTGTTTCACCAAATGTTTTTTTTTAATATGGTGCTAACTTTGTCATTTAGGTCAGTATAATATATAAATTGTGAAACCTAATGGTAACAGTTAAGCAAAGGCATAGAAAAAAAAAATCCCACCTACAGACACACCCCCCCCAAACAAACACAACAAAAAAAACGCAATAGCTTAAGAGACCTCAAAAGCATGAACTAGCAAACACTACTGTGTAAAATTCTACCTGATCACCAGAATTAAATTAATCACATGCTTCTTTAAAATACAGGTTTTGTATAATTGGGCCTTATGTTTGTTTAACAAATATTGAAAATACATCTGTGAACATGCTGTTTAACTCCTGAAATTTAGAAAATAAAAGCTCGTTCCTAAATTACAGGAAAGCAAAAAGGTAGGTTTGCTATCTTGTAAAGCTTTTCTGGCTCCTGTGAAGTTGGGGCATGTTTGTGCAGTAGCTTTATTAGATACACTAATTCTTAATATTGTGGCAGTCTGCAATAAGAATTCTTTTCACTAAATACAGATTTACAGTATAAACCCCACTTACTCCATCGGAGCAGTATCAGTTAAATTGAATACATAATTTGCCTCTTTGTCCTAAAACTGCCTAAATAAAGAGGTGGAGGGCGGGGACATATTTCTCTCCTTGAAGCAACAACGGAACTTTTGTTTCCAGTAAGGGAAATTATATGTTTGTGTTTAGGGAAAGTAGTCTATATGTTACCCACTTTAAAACATACTGGTGTTTCTGATTCTGTTTTTTTCCTAAATGTCTGTTTTAAGTAATTAAATGCAAAAAAAAAAAAATGTGTTTTGATAATTGAAGTTTGAGACATGCAAAATCCAAGAAATGTACAGTTATTTTTAACCCTTTATCTTGGACCTGTGCTGTGGTGCCTTTGGTGTGACTTTTTCCATGGAAGTATGAGTTGAGGATAGCAGGATATGGGAACTAATTTTATATTTCTTGAATTTCTCTGTGTCACAATCTTAACATGATTTAAATCTAGTTCTTTGTATTTGTAAAAGTATTCAGATGGTTTGAGTTTACCAAAGAGTGACTTATCCAAAATTGTCTCTGACAAAAACAAACAAAAAACCAACATCACTTTGATTGTACAGGTTCAGGTTCAAAACATTGTAACAGGACTGTTAAGGGGCAGGAAATGATCACTTTTTCTACAAAAACATGATTCAGCAGTTTGCAAGTTCTACTTGCTCCTATTCGTGTTGATATGCCATTTACCCTTTCCACTGCTAGCAGTGTTAATAATTATCAAGCCATAACACGGTACTGTAATGTTCAGCAGTGCTTCAAGGGATGCATATGTAGGTGAGCATAAAACATCATCAGGCATTACATTTACACTTACAAAGTGTGTGACTCTGGTAGAAAACGAACTTCAAACCTGGCAACAGCAACTAAATTGTGCCTTGTCACATAATGGTATGCCAGGATTAACATTGTCATGAAACATTAAGCATTATCTGACTGAAGTTCATTTCACAAGTCCACCAAAACAGAGTATGCTGTGTTATTTTAAACAAATTATGGAAATACTGTACAGCATCTTGTGTCTGTACAGTTTTAAGTTAGCACAGAGCTGTTACACATTTCATTTACAATAAATGCAGAAGTCAATAAAATATGTGAAGAAATATTTGTCAGCAAAATAAATCATGAAATTACATAGGCTGGTTCATAATTGAGTCTCTTCTTAATCTACCTTTTTAATTATAGACAAATGTGAAAACAGTGACAGTGTCCTATCCTCTAGGTGTTTAACCTATTATGACAAACTGTGAAAATAAAGGATTTTATACCTTTGCTAATGTTTGTGGTTTTAAACAGTTATTTTAGTTTTCTTTTTCAGTTATCTTCCATATTGTTTCTTTTAAACGTGTAAATACATTTAGAAAATAACTTTGTAAATACTTACAGTATATCAAAAGTTCAGTTTGGTCAATAAGGCCTCCAGATTGGCTCTGTTGTTTTAGTGTGAAATCTTTCAATAGCATAAAGGATACTGTCAGTTCACTGTTCAGCAGAATATACTGTAGGCCTAAATTCATAGTTCTTAATGCAGTCTTCCCAAGCATAAATTCATGTTTTATGCTGAAGCCTTTAGTTTACTTTTAGACAAAACAATGAGGCCTCTTAATATGTTTAGGCTGAATTATGGGAAGAACAGCAGAGGGCTGGGAAAAGATTGAATGAGCTTTACCTTTAAATATATATATATATATCTTATTTGAATTTTTGTATTAGTTTACTGTGATTCTTTTATTGTCATTTTTCTAAATAGGTTTCACATGAAACCATTGAAAGGGACTCAAATATGCAACACCTAATCTATTTTCCAAGGAAATTTTTCTTTTGAATGGTGCTTTTTGACTGGTCAGGGTTATTTATTAAATTTTATATTTGAAAGTATTTGGGGAATTATGTAAATTCTTTATATGAATCTGTTTATTTCATGAATTGTAAATTTCATAATACTCAGTGATTGAATTGGAAATTTAGTAAAGTCATTCAAAATGTTCAAAGTTTATAATCTGTGTGCATTTTACATATATTTTAACAAGTGCCAGAATAGTTGTATTTAATATTGTAGATTTAATACTACTTGCACATCCCTGTGACAGCATTAACTTAAGTTACGCAAGTTTACATTTGAAAAAAAAAAAAAGCTAAACAAACAGGTAAGCCTGGGACATGTTCCCGTATTTCTTCAGGGGATGTGAAGCTAAGTATCAGTACTCTGAGCAGGTTTGCTTCTAGCTTATGTAAGTAACTCCTGCTATGGTAGATACCATAAACTGCTGTCTCTCCCATTTACATATGCTATGAATTCAGCCTTTGGACTTGTATTGCAAGCCTCTGGTTGTCTATCTGATTAGAGGTGGAGCTCTTGCACGATTTTAACAGTGTTTGTTTCTGACTGAAAAATTGTATTTTTAAATAACTTTTATTTGTATGGTTGTTTTTCATGATAAATAATTGAACAGTTTGAATGACTTGACTTGGTGTCATTATCTTGCAATATAAACCAGTAACCTCACAACTCCACACTTCATCACCATATGAAGTAAATGAAGCTAGCTAAGCTGATGCTGTAACAATTAATAATTTGCCATTAAGGATTATTTTATAGCATGAATTTTAAAATATTTATTCAAATGATATTTTACTCTTGTATTCACTTTGTTTTTAGATTTGTGACATGAATATTTCAGTGCTGCTTTATTTTGTTCTGATGAATTTGTTTCTTGCTTGTAAATTGCTTTTTTTATGGTATAAAGTCAATGGGAATTGCTGTTTGTAAATTAAAATGCTTCTAGAGCAAATCTATGGTGTCAGTGTCTACATTTAGACATTTAATTACTAAGGGACTTGCATTTTAGATGCTTTTCCTGAAGTGTTATAAAAAGTTGCAGTTTGATACTCCTGTACCAACTAGGAATCAAAAATCTTTAGAGACAAACTACTCTTGAGGTTTTTCTTTTTTGCCAGCATTGCTTGTTTAGTTCTGAACAGATGATCATTTAAGTTTTGCATTCCAAAACCTTGTCCAACTCTCAGAGCAAAACAAAAAACCCGGCTGAGTGGTGGCAATCTGTCTAACACCAAACCAGAGGCAAGTCGGTTGGGTAGGAAGGTGATGTTTAGCTATCACAGCAGTATTTGCATTTTACATTATGCCATATGTAAATGTAGAGCTAATGCCATTCTCAGCAAGTGTAGGATATAGCTCCTCCAACCCCACAAGCTTGAAT